TTCAAAACAACATTCAATCTCTTCAAAACAACATTCAATCTCTTCAAAACATTTCACACCACACAGTTCTGCCAGGTTACTCCAATCTTGCAGAGGGCCATAACCTCACAGAACTGTTCTGCAAGGTTATGGCAGTGCTTCAACCTTGCAGAGGACCATAACCTTGCAGAGGACCATAACCTTGCAGAGGCCCATAACCTTGCAGAGGACCATAACCTTGCAGAGGACCATAACCTCCCAGAGGGCCGTTCTGCAAGGTTATGTCAGTGCTTCAACCTCGCAGAGGACCATAACCTTGCAGAGGGCTGTAACCTTGCAGAGGACCATAACCTTGCAGAGGGCCATAACCTTGCAGAGGACCATAACCTTGCAGAGGACCATAACCTCGCAGAGGACCATAACCTCGCAGTGGACCATAACCTTGCAGAGGGCCGTTCTGCAAGGTTATGTCAGTGCTTCANTGCAAGGTTATGTCAGTGCTTCAACCTCACAAAGGACCTTAACCTCGCAGAGGGCCATAACCTTGCAGAGGGCCATAACCTTGCAGAGGGCCATAACCTTGCAGAGGGCCATAACCTCGCAGAACTGTTCTGCAAGGTTATGGCAGTGCTTCAACCTCACAGAACTCTTCTGCAAGGTTAAAAATGCCCCATAACCTCACAGAACAGTTCTGTGAGGTTATGGAAGTCCACATTTCAAAAATGCAAAAATACAGCCTGTTCATGACTCAAATTTAATTTTTGAGTTAAATTTTTGCTCCTTGTCCTTTAACCTCACAAGGTTAAAGGACAAGGCAGAAGAGTTGCAGAAGAGTTCTGCAAGGTTATGACACTTCAATAACCTTGCAGAACTCTTCTGCAAGGTTATGGCTGTGCAGTAACCTTGTAGTATTTTACTGGGAGCTTACAGCACCACTTCCCTCAACTTGCAGTAAGTTACTGCAAGGTATGGGCTGTTATTAAGCTTTTTGTGCCTTTTTACTATTCTAACAATAGAAAAACTTCCATGTGGCAGTGTGTGCACAGAAGGTTTACAAATTTAGATATTCTTTATTTTGAAATAAATCTCTATAAATTGAAAAATAAAAAAAATTGTTTTGCAGTTTTTGTACAAAAATTGTTTTTGTGTTTTTCACTGTTATATCTCCATCACTTACAAACTGTTTTAGATGTTCCAAAAAGAAAATGTTGGAATTTGAATGGCACTTGCTACATTTGAGAAAATTTGAGGTTCCATTTCAAATTAAATTTTCTCCAAATTTTTGAAGTTGGAAACAGGAAATGTTCCCCTCCTGCAGTCCTGGCTGGGGGCTCTGTATGAACCACCAAATGAAAAATCAATAAAAAAGAAATTCAATTGATTGAAGCATGTATGGGATGAGGATAACACAAAGGAACTGTATTCATGTGTTTCCCTTTATGAATTTATTCACAGCAAAGTTTTGGAGGTAAATGAGTACTCATTTTCCTGATACACTGT